AGTAAAACTGATACATGCCTTCAAACTGACACGTATGACTACTCTTCTATACAAAAGGCAATATAAAGGAGAACTACTAATAGCTTAAACATTCGCTGCAGGGAAAGACAGTGTCATATTTCCACAAAGGCGGCCAGGAGCTGAATTGTGAAGACTGCAAGTTCACGTCTCACAATGACTGACCTGTAGAGCACGTTCATGAAATTCCATACTTCTCCTGAACAGGAAGAGAAACAATTCCCTTTACGTCTTCAACATATTTAAAAAATTGTCTGCACAGCTGATTCACATTATTGACTTTTGGCAAAGATTTTAAACTAGTCTTAATAATATTTATTGGAAGATACCTATGGATAGTTCCATAGATGAGTTCACTATTTACATACACCCAAAACAAGACTAAATAAACTGACAGCACAAAAAAGGTCATGTTTTACGCTGAAAACTTTAAAGAGCAAATTATTGTACATGGACATTGTCATAAAACAGAGACACTTGTATGTTAGTGAAAGGAAAATGCATTGGCTGGGACTGCATTGCTGAAGCTGCCTTTGCAACCATAAAGGAGAAAAAGAAGGAATCCTTTTAAATGTTTCATTCTAAATAATAGATGTTTTTATTGGCATATCAACGCTTTATAAATTGTCTGCTTGCCAAATATTTCAAAATCACCTGCCACTTAAGGTCAGTGGAAACTGCACATAGATGGGCAAATCTCATAGGTGAACATGAGATCTGTTCTTTCTTCAACCAATACTCAAGCATCACTACCCCCATGAGTATGACTCCAGACTAGTGATCAGTTCACCTGAAAAGGATATTATCTGGGTCAGGCCACTCCTTGAATTCAACGCTGATTGCCACCGTGTGAATTTATGCTTGGTGAACTGGTAAATAGGTCCTACATATCATATTAGTTCACTTCTGTGTTGTTGTCTCTGTTGTCCTTGGACAGTACCTAGTCTAAACGAGAATGTAGTAAATGAATAAGGAACATTTATATCATAATGCATATCCATCCATATAGTCCACATATCACACTATCACTATATAAATAGCAAATCTCTATTGGCCTGCTGTGTCACTGACTATACTCTGAAGCCGAGCATTGGATGCTGATGTGAATTGATAATGAGTCCAAAGGATTTTATTACCAGTTCTCTTCTTTGACATCAGAATGATTTAGGACCCATACACACTAGACCATAGGCCACAATCCAATGCACCTGTGTTGCAACATATGTAGGGCCTCACAGCACATAGTCCCTGGAATTCATAAAGAGTGTCTATGATACTCTTTAGAATTCCATTGTGCATCCACATGACAACCGTTGGTGCTTGCCTCAGATTCATGTACCTGTTTGAAACAGTTACATGAATATGGTGAAAGCACTGCTCTGTGTAGCTGACTGTGTAGCGGGCAGCATGGGACTAGTACCCCATTAGGTCCAGTCTGGTACTGATTGACAGTAGACAGTAGGCAGATACCATAGCCAATAGTAGCCTATCTGTTATCTAAGGAATCTGCTCACTGCCTGTCATTCACTAGTGAGATGGACCTGATGGGAAGCTAGTCTCTCACATTCCCAATCAATTTCTACCCACTGCTATCATTATTGGTTGCAAGGAGGCTGTGAGCTGTGCAGCCAACAGCCTATTAGCAACCAGTGACTTATCCCTGGCCCTATTCTGCTGCTAGCCGGGAGATGCCTTAGCATACAACTGTATGCAAACAAAGGGGCGGGGGATGCTGGCTGACATTATTAACCACATATGACCATGGGAATATTTGTGTAATAATATCAGCCATCATCATCCCCAGTCCCTGTGTTTACATTGAGCTGCTGGCTGAGGAATCTCCTGGCCAGCAGCTGAATCGGACTGGGGATGCGTAATCGGTTGCTAGGATACCAGTAACCCAGTGTCCTAGCAACCAATGAACCATGAGTGGGAAGCTGTCACACTCATAACACTATCCCAGCACATGCATGCCCCACTCTGACCATTGGTGTCTCTCTGTAAACCAGATCAGAATTGGTCTTAATAACCACCAGTTTGCTAATCTGAAACTGGCAGTAATTCTTTCTGAATCTGTGTCAGGCAGCGATAGCGACAGGATTTCAAGGTGGCGGTAGTAAGAACTACCTGAATCTATCAGGCATGTCAGAACTGCAACTGGAACTGTTGCAAGGATTTTAAAATTGTGCAGGTTTTTTTAAAGGGATTAGAAGGTTTGAATCCCTGTCAGGTGTTACTGGTATCGCATGAGGCCCATTAGGGAGTTTTCCCCTCACCTTCTGTTCTACACACAATGAAGAGAATGTATGAAACCTGCAGCAGACAGAGTCTGGAGCAGTTACCCGTGGCAACCAATCAGCTTCTATCTTTCATTTTCAAAGCTTAGATGAACAAATTAAAGAGAAAAACTAATTGGATACTATGGGCAGTTGCTTCAGTTTTGATAAATTCCCCCCAATGATTTTTAGGTAGAGTAGGGTAAGGTTAGAACCCCTATCAGGTTTAGCAGACAGAATCAAACACAGCGCCAGCAGATTTTGGTTCAAGAGACTATTAATCAATAATGTTCAGGAGTGCAGGGCAACGGGGCGGCTCTCACCAGGTTCAGAACAACCTCAGCACTGTAAGACAAGACACAGAGAGCGCCTCCATTGCATAAAAACTTTTTAATAAACGAATAAAAAAATGGTATAATGGTACTCACAAAGGATGAATAAAAACAGGCATACAAGGGTCAGAACAAAAGGTGCATATCCACCGGCTGTTCGTCTTCCCTGGTAGTGAAGTGGTTTACGCGTTTCAGAGGTCATGCCTCCTTCCTCAGAACATCCCCAATTGGTTCTGAGGAAGGAGGCGTGACCTCTGAAACGCGTAAACCACTTCACTACCAGGGAAGACGAACAGCCGGTGGATATGCACCTTTCGTTCTGACCCTTCTATGCCTGTTTTTATTCGTCCTTTGTGAGTACCTTTATACCATTTTTTATGCGATGGAAGCGCTCACTGTGCCCTATCAGGTTTGTATTACTGACTGTGGTTTAGATTTCCCCCCACTGCATGTCTAGTTAAACCGTTGTCAGAAAAACAGGAGGTAAGGGGAAATCTCTGGAAACGAGTTATGGTTAGCAGTAAAACCCAACAGGGGATCTTATTCTTCCCCATGATTTCCAAAATGGAAAAAAAAAGTTTTAGCTGGTTATATACTTTAATCAAAAAAAAATCACAAGGTAGATTAGTTGGATTGTTGAAAGAGAGACCCAAGTAGGGCATATTTTATTTAAGTGTGTTGCTGTGGCTACTATTATATCACTTACTGTATGTGGATGTAGGGTTGGGTGTGCCATTAATTTAGAATAGTGCCAATAATTTAGAATAGCACCCCAGAAAGAGCAATGGAACCATGCTACAGCAAAACAGTAATAATCTAATATAGTGGAAAAAACATTTATGGTCAACCCTGTGCTAAGGATGAGCTGGCTGTGCTGCATTCCATATGCTATATAGCTGTCAGAAGACATAGCCTCAAATCCCCCCTTCCCCCTTTGTAATCTCACCTTCCCTATGTAAGCAAACAGATGTAGGCAGTCATCAACTACTTCCTAAGGTAATGACTTTTACAGACCAGCTGTTATTTATTATCGCCTAAATAAACAAAAAGCCTTTACTGACAAAATCAATTCCGAGTTTTACAACTTTCCAACTCCTTTTTTTATCAGTTTACACATCATCATCGTTCAAACAAATTGAAAACTGTGCACAGACTATGAACAAAGCTGTAGATGTACATGTCAGAAATTCTGGGTACAAAATTTACGGCAGGATTTCCACCTTGAGAAAGGGATCCTGCCAGCTTGTGATGGCTGTTGTTTTATGTGAATAAAGAACAAGATTATCGCTATACCTAGGGGTCCTGCTGAGAAGCCTTATTTTCCTATGATTACATGGTGGCGCCATTCGCCAATTCACTACAGCACCCTGCATGAACTGTGCACAAGTCTGGAAGGTGTGCAACGAATGCAATACAACGTTTCTGTAGATGAATCCACAGAGCGCAGTTAATATGCTGTAGGTGGCTTGCCAACTGACCCTGATTACCAAGGACAACCCAGGCATGAAAGATTTACCTCTAGAAATCCTGGCTCCTGTTTACATTACTGATCATCTGCATAGGAAGACTTTTTCCTACATTTTCAAACATTATAAAAAAAAGTATAAATATACATACCCTAAACTGAACATAAAACTGTCAAAAATTGGTTATACAATTTTGTAAAATATTGCTAATGATGCAGCAAACGCTAAATTATACTTAAATTATGGATTTAATACCAATATGTAAAAAAAATAATCCCAGGAATTCATAAAGGGTGACACTCATTATAAATCTGTCTCCTGTCTGTGCAACAAAAGGCGCAACTTGTGGCAGATTAATGTAACGTCACTAAGGTGTGTATGAATCTGTTGCAGAATTGCCTTGGACAGACTTTTGTCAGCTACACAATTATGCTTATATATATATATATATATACATATATAATATTATGATAGCATATATACTGTATATATTCTACAGTCTAACTACAATCCTAAAAGTCATAAAATTATTTAGTGACACTCTAGTGTGAAATGTGTAAGATCATTCAAGTGTTTCTGATCTCTGTTTAATTATCAATAAATGTACAGCATTGCTGGCATTTGCTATAACTTTTTCTCACTTTCATTACAATCCTATTGTTGCTAAATATACCAAACCACCTATTGTTGTAAACAGCAGCATAAGGTAAAAGTCAGATCTTGTTGGTATCAGCGGGAGTGGCGATAAACTCATGACAGTGACCACATTGTTACCCCTCAGGCACAAGAAGGGTTATGTGAAATGCTGCATGCTAATGCCAACAATGCTGAAGCACAATGCCTGGCCACTCACTACTACACACTCCTCACTATAGCAAAAGCAGCTTCACATACTCAGCAAGCCATACCATTTCTTATAGTGTCGAAGGCTGAGCAGCCATCCAAAGCAGTCGTGTGCCCTTCTTCTGGACCTCTTTTCCATAGGCAGTCAGTGCCTTGTCCTCTTTTTTTCCTTAGGATCCTACAAGTGCTGCACAATTTTGGAGTTTCACATTCACATGGCTCACACTCCAGCAGCAAGCTGTTGGTATTCCCTCTGCAAATCTCATCCAGATGCGTCGTAGACACAATGGTTACTGTTCCCAAACTTTCTGCTTATTTCGCATTTGAGTTGGCAATCTGAAACTACTTCTGTTGAGGAACGAAATAACCTATCAGCTTCCTGCTTCCATTTATTCGTTCTTAAATGATTAGATTCCCCCCTGGGCTGTGTGTGCTGGATCAGCCAAATTATTTGTGTCACTCAGTACAGCAAGGGTTGCAGCCAGCTCAGACCAGACTGTGAACAGGAGGAGAGGGTGGGATTGAGGTGAGGCAGAGGAGGGGGTGGCTGATGTTTCAAAGGGGTCTGGCAGAGACAGCAAAGAAGGAGTCGCTCGTTTATTTGATGAAGACCTTTTTTTCACAATAGAAGTCCCATTTTTTCCGCTTAAATAGAAAGTTTTGGTAAACTCCTTTAAGAAACCGAAGGCGTGTGCACGATAACGAGTTCAAAACCACTTCTGTTTTTAAGATATTACCACATTGTCTTACCGGTATCTGGGCTACATTATTCACTTGGAACTTTTTTCTAGTTTTAGAAACAGAGAGGTGTGCGGGGACTTCTACCTATTGGGGGTGACATCACTTGAGTGGATAAGCAGAAATAACATTGGGAAGTTAATAGTGATTGATTCCAGCCTACGGTCTAAAACTAGCCGTATACGAGTAGACTTTCTAATGAACTTTCATATAAAAAATCTTCTACATCAGACTTGTAGAATGTTTAATTTGATTTTAACATTGGATTTTGGAATGAATGGAGTTTTTCAATTTCTTTTGTTGGAGAAAAAATTTCTAGCCTGCTTTTTCTCCAAAATCAATCGTCAATTTGAGTCCATGAGCTATCATAAAATCGAACAACCATATCGAAAAAACATTTACGAGCAAAATTCTACTGGTGTATGGCTAGATTTAGGAACTGGATATAGTGGGTGAAATCCATAGGAAAGATCACCATTTGAAGATACTTTGATATCCTACATGACTACTCATCTAATTGCATGTATTTCACCTTATGGAATGATACTGCAGATATACAGTATATCATCATGGAGAATCTTATCTAAGTCGGGCACTACAGCAAACACAACACTACAGACAATACAGTGGTACCTCGATTCACGAACTTAATTAGTTCCACGATTCTGGACGTGAACCGAATTGGTTGCAAACCGAATCAAACTGTGATCAGACCGCAATCTCGACTAGAGGTCGTGTCAGAGCAGGGAAGCTGGCCGCGGTTGTGTTCATCACCCGATACGGAGTTCTCGAACGGAAGCAAAATTTTGCCGAACTTCCAGTTTGCTAACCGAATTGTTAGCGAACAGAAGCGTTCACCAACCGAGGTACCACTGTACATACTGCTTAGGATTTGGGATTAGGCTTCCCCTGAGGTCCCCCCCCCCTCCCCAGGGAGGATTTTAGCTCTTGGCTTACTTATCAAATGTAATCTTTATATTGCCTCTGTCTTCCTGGTGAAGCTGATGGCAAAACGCATTGAAATTAGCTGCTAAACCAGCTAAAATGCAACATAATATATATATTGAACCAACATTGGTTTTATACAACCTTTATTCTTTTTTATAAATGTAAATAATGCAGAAGAGTTTTTAGCATGGTTTTCGGAGGGATAGATGCAAGTTATACACAACATTGCTGCAGTTCGTTCATTTTTAATATTGATTAAGGTTTTTATTATTATAACTAGGGATGCACCGATACCACTTTTTTAAGACCGAGTACGAGTACCAATACTTTTGATCAAGTACTCGCAGATACCAATTACCGATACTTTTTCTTAAAGGGACAGGTCACATTTTTTCTAAAGCAATACAAACTAATGCTTTAGGGTCACTTTCTTAATATTATGATTCATGAGATGACGAGGGAGCATGATGCCGGCTTCCCGGCCAATCAGAATGCCGGGCGCTGCGTCATTACATGGCGCCCGACTTCCAGATTTGCTAGCTTCCTGACCAATCTGCTAGCTTCCTGATTGGCCGGGAAGTCGGCTCCATGCTTTCTCATCACAAGTGACAAGAGAGCATGGAGCCGTTTCCTGGCCAATCAGGAAACCGGGCAGCGTGTAATGATGTGCTGCCCGGCTTCCTGATACAGGAAGTACTCGTGCTAGGTATCGTAGCATTTGGGTGAGTACGAGTACTCACCCAAATACTCGGTATCGGCACCGATACCGATACTAGTATCGGTATCGGTGCATCCCTAATTATTACATTAAAAGTATGTGATTTTGACTAGATGACATCTCACTGACTGCTCTGGCACCTACAAAGTCCCATATTTGAATTATTTTTTTAACCATTTAGAGTGGGAAAGGGTTACAATACCTGACAGCTGGCTGTGTCACATTTCAGGAGATTCTCAAAGGATACACATACACAACAGGAAGTAATTCCCACTGTTGGCAGTTGTCGCCAAAACAGGTGTTTTCATTGAAAGGCCTCCTGTTCCGGTGACAACTGAAAACATTTTGAATTAATTCTCACTTTCTGTCCCAGTGACGATGGTCACCACAACAGAAAGCATGGTCTACTAAAGTTGGAGTTCTGCATTATGTACTGTATGTAAAGGGATTCTATATTTATTATCACAACTTCATAAAAAAGCCATGAACTATAACAGGCTTATCATTGTAGGCACTAGGCAAGACATATCCAATCTATATGTAAAGCAAATATGTTGCGCTAGGTCTATGTGAACCAACTGCACACTAAAGACAATCTATAGAGTGCTGGTTCTCATCCTGTGGTGCAGGCGGCTGCATGCGGCACTTTAGTACTTACTGTGCAGCCCTCAAGACCTACTTAAAGGAGAACTATGAGGTGAGTGATTTAGACTCATAGTTATAGCCAACATGTGTGACACTGAAACTGTCAAAAAGATCGGGAATTGAGTGAACACTTACCGTCGCTCGCTCACTTTCTGTTCATCTCCTTGCAGAGAGCAATGACTGTCAGTCACCGCTCCCCGCAGGGATTCCCCCTCTCCAATCCTCCAGCGCTGACTGGAGGAACCGATGGTGGAGGGGGCGGACACAGCTGGCTCTGCCTCTAGATAGGCAGAGCCTGCTGTCAATCAGCCAGCTGGGTGGATCTCGACAGTATTGTCGGGATCCGTCCCGGTTGCGGCACTCTCAGTATATAGTGGGCAATAGCCTGAGCTTTGGATCACGAGAGGAGGTTAGTATATGTCCTCCCATCCATGACCCTAAAGAGAACTATAGGATAAAAAGGTTACCCCATAGTAAAGTAAAAGTATTGTTTAGCATGGCTTCTAGTAGTTGATGGTTTGGTTTATTTCTTTTACACTATTATTCTGTACTGTCCATCAGGGCAGCCATCAGAAATTTTGGAGCCCTTACACGGCTTTAGGCCGGACCCCCCATCTCCCCCGCCGCCACCACACTGAGCCAGTCACACTGTTATTATTATACAGTAACTAATCGACTTAGTCGATTAGTTGTTGCAGCCCCAGTCACATCAGTCTCTGTACATAGGAGCTTACACTCTAATGTCTCCCCTCAGTCACACACTATTATTATACATGTATATAGCTCCGACCTATACCGCTGTGCTGTACAGAAAACACTGAGCCATTCACATCAGTCTCTGTACAGAGGAGCTTACACTCTAATGCACAATGGCACCAGCTGTAGGGTGACAACAAATCCCAGCAATACATTTATACAGCAATGCAGAACAGTATATGAATTTGACTCTGGGCTCAGTGACCCGCTGGACGCAAGACCCATCTGAGAACCTGCAGAGCCCACCATTGATGCTGCACAGCCCATCTGATACTATCTATGGTGGGCTCTGCAGGGGTCTCAGGTGGGCTGGTGACCTGGCCTCCTCTGCCGCTTGACTGGCCGGAAGTGATGTGATGTCACTTCCAGCTGGTCCAAGATCAGAAGAGCAGCAGCGCCGATGGGGCCCGAGCCTGCTCCGATGCCGCTGGATCGGCAATGCAGGGACCCGGCGCTGCTAGTGCCAGGCCTTCTCCGGCGTTGTGGGTGCCCAGTCGCCTCCTCGCCTGTCACCGTCAGCCGATACTCATGGAAGGGTCCCGGGCGGGCCCCCATGCTGCCCGGGCCCTTTACATGAGTATTGGCCGTACCCCCCTGATGGCAGCCCTGCTGTCCATCCCTTTTCTCTTTTTATGTCATGTTTATTTCTCTGAGTAAATTTAAGTGGGCTGTAAGAAGCACAAATGTGGATGCACTTTGCTTTTCCCTTGTCCATTTGCAGAACGCTTTGTATTCAATAACCCATTCACAAAATACCAAGAGTTCTGGGAATGGACAAGGGGAGAGAAGAGCAGATAGTATGACTTCTGTGTAGGAGAGCTGCAGCTTTCCTGTAGCAGCACCGTAAATGTAGCGAAAACTATACTTCCTGCCATCAATAAAACGCAGTGATCCAGGAGGCAGCATACACCTCATTACAGTTAACTATTTGTTACCATGCAGATTTTTAAAAAAATATTTTTTTCCTGGAGTTCTTTAATTTCAGAATGCTGGATGACCAGAAGCTCTGAAAGTAATACATTTACTCACAGATGGGGAGGAGGAAAGCAAGGGAGCACAGTGACTACAGACACAAACACCATAATTAATTTTATTATTATAAAGGGTTTATATGGTGCCAACAGTTTGCACAGTACTTTACCAAATCCTCCTGTGCATCTGACATTAGCTTTTCTAGAATGGAGACTTCACAAAGGATCAGGGTTCTCATCAACTGCAACCTCTCCAACCCCCTAACGATATGGTACTGGATCTGTGTTATCTTCACATGGACACAGATTTTCTGTGTTTGATATGTCTCAACAACCTTCACCTTCAGGCCCATTGCAGCCATTAAGAAGATTATTACTTGTCTGTCCCTGATCTTCCATAGCTATACTGGGTGTAGAGTTTTTCATATCTGACACTCCTGAGTACATCCCCTGCTTTATTTCTGTGGTTCCTACCACCAGCCACTGCTGTATGTCACTACCTTGTCCTGTGATATTCCAGTATACACTCATTTGTTAGATACAGAACTACGCTGTCACACGCATCAAATGGGCCATTATGATAAAAAGTAACCTTTGTGGACATGTTAGTCTTAGACTAAGTTATTGCATTAACCTGATGTAAGGGGGAGATGCTCAACTGGTAATGGCTGCAATCAAGCGTGCATGAGACGGGGACCAGCCAAGCAAG